TATTAATCAAATTTAACTACCTGCAGACACACTGTGATAATTTTGTGAAAGTTAGTCTTTGATCAAAATTTGCATGGACATATTTATACTTCTACATCATTGCTTAGATTATAAATTATATCTACCTTTATTATAAATAAGAACATCTGTAGGGAAAACTATATTTGAAAAATGTTTAGATAACATACATTTAATATAGAACTGCTTCTATGTGAGGCACATTTAGGCATTGTATGTATGAGTTGAAAATACTTTCAAGGTATAGTTTCAGCCCTACTGTTATGGGGCAACTCAGCAATAAAGCTAAACGTGGGAGAGAAGGCTTTGAGGTAGACAGATACTGAAAGATTTATTCACTCATTCATTAACTCGTATATTCACTCACTGATTTAAAAATATTCACTGATTACATATTGTGTGCAAAGGCACTTTCCATCACTGGAGATACAATGATGTGCAAAACAGAGGCTTTCTGAATGCTCAAGGAGCTTACATTTTCTATGGGGATGGATGACATCAAACAAATAATTAAAGACTTGTTTAAATGCAAGTGTATTAACTGCCACAGAGTTAAGAGCTGTGTATTCTGAAAGCATGTCAGAACTGAAAGAGTGAATGGATTCAGGAAATATTTGAGATCCAAAAGATGAGCAAGAATAGAGAATAAAGTCAAGAAGCCATGCATCCAAATGCTTTTGACAGAAGTAGTCCAGTATTCCGGATAGTATCTGAAGTGGGTTAACTTTTTGCAGTCCTAATGCCCTCAAAGGCAGAGAGCAATTAAGACCAAGACTATTATTAATAGTTTCCTACCCAATTTTCGTTCTTTTCTTATTTCTTCCTAACATAACCCAATTTTATTTAGGAGAACAACGTACCCAGGTAAAGCAACTACTTTTTTTCAGTTTTTCTTGTAGCTATAGGGTAGTTATTTGACACAGTTTTAACCAATGCAAAGAAAGCAGAAGTTACTAGATTAGGCTTCCAGAAAAGTCCCTCAGAGAAGGATGTTTTATCTCTTAAACAATTTTTGCCTTTTACCCTTTCCTTTCTTCAATTTTGAAATGAAAATCTTATGACAGTTACTATGGTTAATGTCTTTAGAATATAAGGAATGAGGATCAAAATCTCAATGTGTCACATAAAGCATGACAAGGCCTGTTGATATTGTGGAGCCCCGAATCCCCTGGATTCCTATGGCCAGTTTTCATCAATTGTGGAGAATAATGGAAAAATTAATCTGAAAATTTGTGGGGTAAATAGACTCTTATTTGAGGACATCTGCCTTCCTTCTCATCAGACAGCTTCATTCTCTTCAGGCCCTTATATTGACAAAGTAATAAATGTTCAAATATATGTGGTATATTTGTTTAATGTACTACTTATGTGTTTATGCAAGCCATACGTAATAAACTAATTCAGAAGTGAAGGATATTATTTCTAGCTTTGGTGGTCAAGAATGCTTTATGAAAGAGGTTCCAATTCAAGTGAGTTTTACAATTGTAAATTTGCATAAAATTGAAAATGATTTTGACAGCAAAGGAGAGTTTTCTGAAATTTTTTTCCATAGGCACTGGGGAGCTGATGAGGGTTTCCAGCAGTCATGTTTTAGCACAATAACTTATTGTACACTTGCATGCAAATGATTTGGGACTTGAAGACCTAAAGGTGAAATAGAAAATTAGTACAACTATCAAGTAATAAGTATTTTAGAGCTCATTCCAGGATCTTTTTGGTAGTAAAGAATAGAAAGATATAAGGCGAGAAAAAGGAACGTTCAATACCTGTAACCTTGGTGATTTTTAGATACAGGAGAGAAAGGTGAAGAAAAGTAAAAGCCAGTTTTGTATTTTCAAGCCTGGCTAAATAAGGAATTACTGTAAGTAGGTGAGAAAGACTAGATGGTTTGGTTGTTGGGGACAATGGGAGATAATAAATTTTATTTTAAGGCTATCTGAGGATAATGAAGTAGAAATGTCTAGCAAACAACTGGAAATTTGTGATTCAAATATGACTTGTATAATGTTATGTTGAGAAATTAGGTGAAGTCAATGGTTTTATTGCTTATACAATTTCATCTGTCAGCACTTTTTGTTGTTCTGAGCCTTGAAGTATCATGGTATAGCTAATAATTCTAGTTCCTTTTATAAAACAGCATTAGGTTAAAGGGCATTTTCCAATGTGCCAGGAGAGGGTAGAAAATAAAATCAATATTTTCTATTTTTGTCTATCACTTGCAATTAACAGTATAATTTCATATCTCTAATACAATTTTTTTTCTTTTTAAAATAACACATTATTTTCCAAGTCATATATTTTAAGAGACATATGTTTACAATGATGAGTATTAGGAGTGCTGAAAAATGGCAAAGATAACATATTTGTATCTATAATTTGCAATATGCAAGATGGTAATTTGATTATCACCCCAAATGCCTTTTTTCATTATAAAACCAAAATTAAGCAACTTGGATAAACATATTGGTGAATCATTTTTAAAAAAGTTTTCTGTATATTTATTGCAAACCTCAGTACTTTTATAGCCTCTAAAGGTTTTCACCATATATATTTGATTAAAAATTTTGATCGAAAGCTTTTATTGAATGCTTGATTGAAATCTTAAATCATTTCACTGATACAACAAGCTTCATTATAAAAGAAATTATGACTTTTTAGATTATATATATGGGATTTTGAAATAAAATTTTAGAGTATAATATATTTAGCTGTGAAATAGCAGCTACAAGTTACAAGTTACACACACATATACATAAATGGAAGAACATTTATTCTATAATTTGAAAGAGGAAATAGTTCATTGCTCAGAATTTTAACTCTAATGTGTTGTGTGAATTTCTGTCATATACTTATTGCTAGTAGTTGTAGGCTCCTTTCCTAGTGAGAGTTTGCCTCCTAAGCACAAGACAGATTCCGTTCTGTCTTTGTGGTCCTGCACCCACCTTCAGGTTGCCTGTTTTATTTATTTACTTTTTCCTTTCTGTGTTTTTGATTGAAAGCCTGGAGGTTCCTTCCTTTTCTTCTCTGTTCACATGTTTTCAGTTGTAGCTTTCTGTCACATTTAGATACAAAATATGGCAACTATCTTGAGAAAGAAGCTTGTTATTAATATTTGCTGCTTTAAACTTGAAATGTACCTAGTCTGAATTGAGAAAGGTAGTGAGTGTAAAATACACATTATATTTTGATGACTTGTATGAAGAAAACAATGTAAACTCTTAATATCTCTCTAATAATGTTTAAAATATTGATTACATGTTAAAATAATATTTTGAATATATTGGACAAAATAAATGTTATTAAAATGAAAAAAATTAATGTGTGTCAGTAGCTAAACCTATCTAGCATATCTAGTCTAGGCACTAGAATAGGTGGTTATACCAGGCAGAGTGTGTTAAGGGAAGCAGAAAGAATAATAGTTCCTGATAAAACAGTTAAAATATATAGTAGGCACAAAATCTATAGTAGTATAATAATAAGTACTCTGGAAATGTTGTGCATTCATAATTTATTTGTGTGTTCACTTTTCTTTCACATACCACAGAGGCCGCCTTAAAACACATACAAGTCATTTATGGAAATACTACTACTATTGCTCATCCACAGCCTACCTTTACTATTCATACTCTTGACGCAGGCAAGAAGAAAACTTCTGCTGGCATTTCTTAGAGGACTTGTCTATTGTGACTTTGGTGTTTAATACTGGACTCAAATCAGAAATGTGGGGTTTTGTGTAAGAATCTCCTACCCTAGTCATTATCAGTACTCTTACCATATTATGTGATTCTTCAGAAGTAGAAGATAATTTTGTTAGCATATGCAAAAGAAAGTGTGTTTTATAAAGTATGGCTCTTAGAGAGATGTCAAACGTATGCTTTTTCAGCATCCAAATGTGTTTGATTTATCTGAAACTTAAATTACTTCCCTATTAGCTCAAACCCAGATTCTTTAGCATTGTTTATTTTTTCATTGAAATTAGCTTTTATAGAATAGTAAGATTAGCTTAACGCACTGGAAACAGGTACCAATATATGCACTTTACTTGTTTTAACTAATTTAATCATCACAATAACCTTATAACCTAAATACTATCATTTTCTCATTTTATGTATGATGAAACTGAGAATCAGAGAGGTTAAGTGGTTTTCCTAAGATCATATAGCAAGTAAGCAGCAAATATTTGGAAACCAGGAAATCTAGTGCAAGAGTCTATACCTTTAATTATAACAGTCTCCTAACTATCAGGAAATCATTAAAACTTAAATAGTTTTGGTCTTTAAACATAATACATGTGAATCAATTTTGAAAGAATATGTTATTTTAAAATAATTTGAGGATAATGAGTTTTAAAAAGTTTTCATTGAGATAATTAGGTAATTGTTTAAGGCATTAATTGTCTAAAAAATATGGCATTTATATTTAATAAGTTAAATGTAATTTAAAATTATTATTTTAGTTAATATCCATGTTGGTTTATATTGATTAAAAATGTTACTATAACTTTAGATCATATAAAGAATGATGAACGATGGAATGGGAAACCTTTTACTTTAATTGAAATCTATTAAAAATGAAATAAGCAATCTCATTTTGTAGAATAAGTAAAGTATACTTACATAGAACAGTAGAGCAAGAACGATTTGCTGGTTATGAAAACAGATAATCATTGTTGTCATTCCTGTATGAATTAAGATTTTTATTAAATTTGAATATGAGAGTTTGATCTATATCATGATGGCTGTTTTTTTTAAAGAATATGGTCCTAAATTTCATAATTCTGTTTATTTTACTTTAATTTTGATGAGTGAATTTATACTTTTTATTAGAAGGACATAGATTTAGAAATCCTCTTTAAGATTTCTATTTTAATGAATAATGAGTGAAAGTTTTGATATTTTTCTATTTATAACATTGCTTAATGTAAATCTATTTTCTTGGATATTTTCTATATATTTATGCTCATCCATTAAATTTTTTTCTAGATTACTCCAGCACCAGGCTACTATGATATTCAAAAAGCATATGACATATCCCAAGTTGCACATAAATACATGCCACCTCGTAGTTTAGTGGCCAAGAGAAGACATTCCTCCTTTCTTAGTGCAGCTCCTCGATATGTGGGAGGTATGCCTGATGGTCCAGGTAAGTCTAGATTGTCTTTTAAAAACCATGTGGAAAAAGAACTAAGGTTTCCATATTAAGATAGTTATAGTCATGGATAGGTTCTTGGAAACTGTGACTTTAAGCAATATGACATATGATGAAATCACTTTTCTCCTCATCGATGTTATAACAAAATGATGTTGAAGTACACAATGTTATTCGAGGACCCACTGTACATTGGTTTGCTTATGCTTGATGTTTCTAAGAACCTATCCATGACATTAAGGATTTACCATAATTTTAAAAACACATCTACATTTACTATGCTTCATTTAACCGTGTAGGTCAAGAAACAAAAAGCAAAGTACTTATTCAGTGAAAGATTTGAAATATTTTTTTCCAAATGTAAGATTTGTTGGGGTTTTATGTTTCTTAATTTTACCAAAGACAATTTTACCAATTTTACTAAAGCCAATAAAGCCATCTAGCATTTTATTAGGGAAGAAACCAAAACTTGTAATATACTAACATTGTTAAAGGAGCAAAGCACTTTACTTGATTTGGACAATCAGTCATATAGAAGATACACATCATGTCAGTTGCATGGAATTATTTTTATTTTCCTCAAGTATCAAGAAAGCAGCTATATAGAAAGTAAACATTTATTTGAGTATTTAAAATTCTAAAAATCATTTTGATTTTTAAAATTTGGATTGGTTCAACTATTAGAAATGGCATTCTTGGTCTAAAAAATGAATGTAAGAACTAATTTTCCCTGGTAATGAAGATAAATCAGAAATCAGTATGCTATTTTACATAGGGAAACTAGATAGAGAAGAGGAACATTAGTTTTTAAGGGTAATTTATAAATGTATTACCACTAAAAAAACCAAACTGTTGTACTGAATCTGTGTGAGAACATGAACAAAAACATGAAACAGAATGAAGAAACTCTCTTTTTCCCAGAGTTTTTAATAAAAAACCAAAGCAGGAGAATGTAACCTGTCTAACAAATGAGAATACTTAGAGAGCTTGAGATCCATAGAGGCTTGCTTTGTTTTTTATTGTCTTGTAAGAGTCAGGCATATTACCAGCTTAAAGATCCATTTTAAGTTGAATTTGACTTTTCTTATTTTCTTTGTCTTCTCTTGAGTTATTGCACTATTGTTAATTTTTTCAGGTTTTAGCTTTGTCATAGTTCAAATTGCTTTTGTGTGTCCCTGGCTACAATCTGTATGTGGTCACCTGGGGAAATTAGTTCTTTGAAGTTCCAGTACCATAACCATCATCAAGCACAATCAAGCAAATAACAAATAAATATTCATATCAGAGTCTCTTGAAGTAGATAATGTTGAGCTTCATATTTCCTGATTTTTTTTTATCTCTCTGCCTTTGCTCTCCTCTGCATAAAAATTCTTATAAATGGAATGAAAACTAAGTTTCAGTTAAGTGCCAGGATTGACACTGTGACTTTCCATTGATTCGGTATTTAGCCTAGGGCAAGTAAATTGGCTAATTGTTTCATTAGTTTCTATTTTCCAAAATTAAAATAATATTTGTCACCTACTTGTCTCTCATGAGAGTACAAAAGATTAATAAGACTGTATTTCAAAGTAATTTTCAGAACCTCTGAAGCTCCTTTTAAGTATAAAATCTTATCATAATATGAAACATGTTTCTTCCTAATGTTAAGCCAACACTAGCTTCTAAAAGAATATGTCATTATGAAGACAGTTATTATTTGGAAGTCAAAGCTATAGTAACTGTCAAAATCACTGTACAACTACGGAGTAGACAGTGTGCTAAATGAAAAGAGTTTATCACATTGGTTAATACCAGCAATTCATCAAGTTTGCCATTGTGCATCTTAAAGTGGCCATACTTCAAAGGAATGATAACAGAAATCCCACATGCCTCTATAATGAACACATTAGAAGAAGCCATATGGATTTCTGAAGCTATTATCTAATACCATGATGAAATTTGATTTTCTCTGATGTACAGATATTGTAGTGATTATAGAATTGTTCATTCTTTTAAATTTAATCTGCTATCTTAAGGTATATAGTCCAAAATATGGATTTAACATAGATTTAACAGTGCCCAGGGCCAATTCAATTACTATCATGCTTCATTTTGGTAATTGAAGTTTAACTTCCCTTTCTTTGTCTTAATTCTGTTACATTGATCCATTAAAGGAAAAGATATTCAAGTGTAATATTATCAACTCTCTAAATAGATTTCTAATTTTTAATTGATTTTTTACTTAGGTCAGTTTTTTATTGATTAATATGACCAGGAATTCTTGATTCTTTTTAATATATATATTAATGTGGTTTTATGCTCTAAAATGAAAATAGCCCATTTCTGTTTCAATTCTTAACAACATCTAACTTTTGCTTAGGATAACTAATATATTAAAATATTTAAAAAAATAATTACATAATCAAAAGATAGTGATAGTAGTCATATTTGTTATGTACTTTGTATCAGTGTTTATCTTATGAATGATATCCTTTCATATCATATATTCTTAGAAATAAAATAAGAAAAAATGTTTCTTTATCCTCTTATTTCTCATTTAGACATTGGTAATTTTGCTTTAATACCAATGGAAAAGACTTTTGTTGGTTGAATATAAAATTTCTTCTACATCACATAAAATTATTTTTTAGTACTATGTGTATATATACACAAATGAAATTGCAAGAGTGTTTGACTTAATTTATAGAGCATGATATGTATATTTGTTATTTAGGTCATTACATTACTAAGAAGAATTGAGTACTCTATAGCACTTAAAGAAAATGTATGTTGTTATAGTTATATATATAGAAAAATTGGAAAATTAAAGTTGATTACTGAATATCTTACATTTGTAGGTAAAAGTATTAAGAACTGAGGTTAATAAATGTATGAATAGTTTTCTTCTCATGATAGGACATGCATTCAATCGTTCAACATTTTATTGCCATGTATTCATTTAAAATTATTTTAGAAATTGTATTAACAAATATGAAGTGGTTTTGTTTTACTTATAAATGAAGTCTTTTCTTTGTATATATTTAAGGAGGACAAGTCATTTTCATTAGTCTAAAGCAAAGAGGGAAATAGCATATCTGCAATCAGTATACTATATAACATTAAATGTTGTGTGACCAATAAAAACACATTAGAATCATTTAATGAAGAAATTATTAAATGAGGTGTATCACATTATAAAGCAATCTCCTCTTATTACACCAAGCTTTAATTCATGGATATGTAAATGATTTTGTGATTGATCCAACTCAGGTAAATGATAAGTGGAACAGTATAATACTTACATTACTTTCTCTCTCATAGTGGCCTGTGTTGGGGGGTGGGGTGGGGAATGCTCAGCAAATTCAAAAAGAATATGGGTAAAATCATTGTTGAGAATGTGGAAAATTGAGAGCTCTCATATGTTGTGGTGGAAATGTAAATTGATATCAGTCTTTCTCAAGGGTAGGTTGGCAAAATGTTTCAAATATGCATGCCATTAGACCCAAAAATTCTACTTCTGGAATTAACCTAAGAAAATAATTAATGTTATGACCAAAATTTAGACATCAAGGATGTTCAGTAAAGAACAGCAATAATGTAAAGTTTAAAATGTCCAAAATGGAAAGGAAAATGGGGTTTAGTTCATTTTGATACATCAACTGAGCAGAATCTTATGATAATTTTAGAAATGGTGTATATATTTTTAAACTTGGGAAGATCTTGCTAACAAGATAGGATTCATCCATTCAATCACTAACAGATATGTATTAAAAGTCTCTTATGCATTAAGCACTGTGTTCCAGGAACTTGTGATGCAGTGGTGAATAAAATATAAACATTCTTGTTTCACACAGCTTAATTTCAAATATCAAGGACATTTAATAAATGAATAAAAAGATAGATTGATATATTAATGGAAAGAAATAAAAGATAAAAAGAAATAAACATAAAAGAATAAAGAAAGCCAGGTGTTTATACATGTTATGGAGAGAAATAAGATGGAGAAGGGAGTTGGGAGTTTAGAGTGGGTTGTGCATCAGTTTCAAATAATGTCATCAAGGAGGGCTTTATTGAGAAAATAATATAGGCATACCTTGAAATATTGCTAGGTTTGTTTCCAGACCACCAAAATAAAACTGATATAGCAATAAAGGGAGTGACATGACTGTTTTGGTTTCCCAATGTATCTAACACCACACTGTAGTCTATTAAATGTGAAATAACATTATGTCTTTAAAAAGTACATACTTTCTATATCACTAAAAAGTGCTAACAATCATCTGAGTATTCAGCAAGTCTTAATCTTTTTTGCTGGAGGAGGATCTTGCCTCGATGTTGATGGCTGCTGACTGATGAGGGTGGTGATTGCTGCAGGTTGGGTTGGCTGTGGCAATATCTTAAAATAAGACAAAAATGAAGTTTGATGCATCAGTTGACTCTTTCATAAAATATTTATCTGTAGCATGTGATGCTATTTGATAGCGTTTTACCTACACTAGAACTTCTTTCAAAATTGGAGTCAGGGCAGGGAGCCGTGGCTCATCCCTTTAATCCCAGCACTCTGGGAGGCTGAGGCGGGAGGATCATTCGAGATCAGGAGTTTGAGACCAGCCTGAGCAAGAGTGACCCTGTCTCTTAAAAAAAAAAAAAAGAAATTATCTGGACAACTAAAAATATATAGAAAAAATTAGCCAGGCATTGTGGTACATGCCTGTAGTCCCAGCTACTCCGGAGGCTGAGTCAGGAGGATCGCTTAAACCTAGGAATTTGAGGTTCTGTGAGCTAGACTGATGCCATGTCATCTTGCCCAGACAACAGAGTGAGACTCTGTCTCAAAAAAAAAAAAAAAATTGGAATCAGTCCTATCCAACTCTGCTGCTGCTTTATCAACTAAGTTTATATAATATTCTCAATCCTTTGTTGTTATTTCAACAATGTTCACAGTGTCTGTTCCAGGAATGGATTCCATCTCAGGAAACCACTTTCTTTGCTCATCCATAAGAAGCAACTCCTCA